TAGTTAGTTAGTCTTTCCTCTTGTGTCGAGTGCGGCACATAGGGCAGAGGTCGCGACTCTCCATGCACGGCGGTCCGTTGCAATCCGTTGTAGGTCTTGGATGTTTGAGTGGCCCATGAGCGAGCCTTCCCTGATGATAGTTCTACGTAGGGTTTCCCTTGGTCTTCCACGAGATCTTTTCCCCTGTGGTGTCCAAATGAGGGCTTGGTAAGGAAGTCTTGATTTATCCATTCTAAGGACGTGGCCGACATAGTTCCAGCGGCGTTTTCGTATAAAATTAGACACATACTCTTGCCTGGATTCTTGCCTTATTTGTGTATTGGTTCGGAAATCTGACCATTTGAAATTTAGTATTCTTCTAAGGCATTTATTTTCAAAACTGTCTAAATTTTGTGTCTAGAGTTTTCGTTGATTTCCAGCTCTCGCATCCATAGGTTAGTACTGGAATCACACAAGAATTGAAGATCTTGAGTTTTGTGTGTTTGCTAAGTGTCTTTGATTTCCAGATGTTAGACAGTTTATTGAAGGCACTAGATGCCAGTGCTATTCTAAATGATATTTCTGGTGCGGTATCTCCTGTAGATGACATCTTGCTCCCTAGATAAGTGAAACTGTTGACTTTTTCAAGGCTGTTGTTGTTCAGCGTGATATCAACTGAACTGTTGGTAAGGTCTAGAATTTTTGTTTTTGCGGTGTTAATTTGGAGTCCAATTTGTTCTGAGAAATTCTGGAGTCGATTGATTTTTTCTTGGGCGTCTGTGTGTTCTGAACTCAGGAGTGCTATGTCGTCGGCGAAGTCTAGGTCTTCCAGAATTTTGTCAACCCATGTAATGCCTAAATTTGTGTTATTTATGCACTTGCGCATGACCCAGTCGATTGCGATACCAAAAAGAAATGTCATTAAAAGGGAAAAATGCAAATATAGACTTCTCGTTGCAACATGTAGGCACGTGGTTTGGCTTTGAAAAACACAACCATATACTTCTCGTCTGTAACATGTATGCACGTGGGTTTACAGTGTGAACAAACAAAAAAAAAAACACAACCATATACTTCCCGTCTGCAACATGTATGCACGTGGGTTTGCAGTGAAAAACACACACATATACTTTCCGTCTGCAACATGTGTGCACGTGCTTTTGCGATGAAATAAAATCTGAGAAGTCATAAAACAGCAATTTTATAAATGTTAGGAACATGTCACGTTTTTATGCGTCTACTGAGACGGCCTGTAACATCGATCCCATGTTGTACAAGGGGTCAAGCGCTGCCTCACACTTCCGGTTCCCAAAAAATGCAGAATGGCGACCGGATGTTTATAAGAAGAGACGTGAAACGTTTTTTGAGAATGAATTTAAATTGGCGTTCTCAAATACTTAGTAAACAAACGTTGATATCTCCCATGACGGAGTTAAATTACAGGACAACTTTCTTCAGATCTTGACATAACATTAATCTCGTGACACACACTGTTAGCCCGAAAGCTTGTAGTCAGTGGTTGCTAGCAACACAAACAAACACGTACGCGCACGCGTACACACACATACATATATATATATATATATATATATATACACACACACACGCACACCATGTTACCTTAACTTCCATACACACACAAACTACATGCCTGTTACATTTTTTTTTCACTTCAACCCAAAGTTACGCAACATCACGCCCATCTTGTTTAATGTTATCACTGTTTTACAGTTACAGCGTTCACAAGAAGAGACAGTTTCATGTGTAATATTATAACTGTTTTACGATTACAGCGGTCACAAAAAGAGACAAAGGTACATGTGTAAAATTATCACTGTTTTACAGTTACAGCGGTCACAAGAAGAGACAGTTACATGTGTAATATTATCACTGTTTTACAGTTACAGCGGTCACAAAATGAGACAGTTACATGTGTAAAATTATCACTAATTTACAGTTACAGTGGTCACAAGAAGAGACAGTTACATGTGTAATATTATCACTGTTTTACAGTTACAGCGTTCACAAAATGAGACAGTTACATGTGTAAAATTATCACTAATTTACAGTTACAGTGGTCAGAAGAAGAGACATAGTTACATGTGTAATGTACCTACCATTGATATGAAATTCTTGTACTGATTGTCAAACGCCACCGCCACCCCCCTTCCCACCCCATCCCCTTTTCTTGGTTTCTTAGCATGGAGAGGAGAAACAAAACGTTGCTTCCCAGCTCCAGTTGATATATTACTTTAGTATTGGCTCTCTAAACTTTAGTACTGGCTCTCTAAACTTTAGTACTGGCTCTCTAAACTTTAGTACTGGCTTTCTAAACTTTAGTACTAGCTCTCTAAACTTTAGTACTGGCTTTCTAAACTTTAGTACTGGCTTTCTAAACTTTAGTACTGGCTCTCTAAACTTTAGTACTGGCTCTCTAAACTTTAGTACTGGCTCTCTAAACTTTAGTACTGGCTTTCTAAACTTTAGTACTGGCTCTCTAAATTTTAGTACTGGCTTTCTAAACTTTAGTACTGGCTTTCTAAACTTTAGTACTGGCTCTCTAAACTTTAGTACTGGCTCTCTAAACTTTAGTACTGGCTCCCTAAACTTTAGTACTGGCTTTCTAAACTTTAGTACTGGCTCTCTAAACTTTAGTACTGGCTTTCTAAACTTTAGTACTGGCTCTCTAAACTTTAGTACTGGCTCTCTAAACTTTAGTACTGGCTTTCTAAACTTTAGTACTGGCTTTCTAAACTTTAGTACTGGCTTTCTAAACTTTAGTACTGGCTCTCTAAACTTTAGTACTGGCTTTCTAAACTTTAGTACTGGCTCTCTAAACTTTAGTACTGGCTCTCTAAACTTTAGTACTGGCTCTCTAAACTTTAGTACTGGCTCTCTAAACTTTAGTACTGGCTTTCTAAACTTTAGTACTGGCTCTCTAAACTTTAGTACTGGCTTTCTAAACTTTAGTACTGGCTTTCTAAACTTTAGTACTGGCTCTCTAAACTTTAGTACTGGCTCTCTAAACTTTAGTACTGGCTCTCTAAACTTTAGTACTGGCTTTCTAAACTTTAGTACTGGCTCTCTAAACTTTAGTACTGGCTCTCTAAACTTTAGTACTGGCTCTTTAAACTTTAGTACTGGCTTTCTAAACTTTAGTACTGGCTCTCTAAACTTTAGTACTGGCTTTCTAAACTTTAGTACTGGCTCTCTAAACTTTAGTACTGGCTCTCTAAACTTTAGTACTGGCTTTCTAAACTTTAGTACTGGCTTTCTAAACTTTAGTACTGGCTCTCTAAACTTTAGTACTGGCTTTCTAAACTTTAGTACTGGCTCTCTAAACTTTAGTACTGGCTCTCTAAACTTTAGTACTGGCTTTCTAAACTTTAGTACTGGCTCTCTAAACTTTAGTACTGGCTCTCTAAACTTTAGTACTGGCTCTCTAAACTTTAGTACTGGCTTTCTAAACTTTAGTACTGGCTTTCTAAACTTTAGTACTGGCTCTCCAAACTTTAGTACTGGCTCTCTAAACTTTAGTACTGGCTCTCTAAACTTTAGTACTGGCTTTCTAAACTTTAGTACTGGCTTTCTAAACTTTAGTACTGGCTCTCTAAACTTTAGTACTGGCTTTCTAAACTTTAGTACTGGCTCTTTAAACTTTAGTACTGGCTTTCTAAACTTTAGTACTGGCTTTCTAAACTTTAGTACTGGCTCTCTAAACTTTAGTACTGGCACTCTAAACTTAAGTACTGGCTCTCTAAACTTTAGTACTGGCTCTCTAAACTTTAGTACTGGCTCTCTAAACTTTAGTACTGGCTCTCTAAACTTTAGTACTGGCTTTCTAAACTTTAGTACCGACTTTCTAAACTTTAGTACTGGCTTTCTAAACTTTAGTACTGACTTTCTAAACTTTAGTACTGGCTCTCTAAACTTTAGTACTGGCTCTCTAAACTTTAGTACTGGCTCTCTAAACTTTAGTACTGGCTTTCTAAACTTTAGTACTGGCTCTCTAAACTTTAGTACTGGCTCTCTAAACTTTAGTACTGGCTCTTTAAACTTTAGTACTGGCTCTCTAAACTTTAGTACTGGCTTTCCAAAACTGCCAACTACTGTCAAAACTGCCAAAACTGCCTTTATTAAACCACTTTTGCGGTGTAGGCAAGGGTGTCAGGAGTCTGAGGATTACGGCCGCACGGCTAATGCTGTTGCCACAACCTGTGCATGTGAGAATTTTATTTTGCCCCCGACAGAAAAAAAAAGAATCCCAGCCTTACCGAGGATACTAATCCGAGTCTCCCGCCCGAGCGCCCCAGTGGTCTAACTGTTCGGCCAGGCAGCCCTCTTTTAACATTTAAAGGAGAAAAATGTGTACTGAGACTGATGGAGTACTAGGAAACGAGCAAACAGAAAACCGTCTAGAAGAAACAAACAGACGAACAGGACTAGAAAACAAGCAAACACGCAAACTGGTCTAGAAGAAACAAACAGGATTAGAAAACAAACTAACAGACATACAGGACTGGAAGAAACAGACAAACGGGACTAGAGAACAAGCAAACAAACAGGACTAGAAAACAAGCAAACAAACAGGATTAGAAAACAAACTAACAGACATACAGGACTAGACGAAACAGACAAACGGGACTAGAGAACAAGCAAACAAACAAACTGGTCTAGAAGAAACAAACGGAACTCTAAAACAAACTAACAGACATACAGGACTGAAAGAAACAGACAAACGGGTCTAGAAAACAAGCAAACAAACAGGACTAGAGAACAAGCAAACAAACAAACAAACTGGTCTATGAGAAACAAACGGGACTAGAGAACAAGCAAACAAACAAACTGGTCTAGGAGAAACAAACGGGACTAGAGAACAAGCAAACAAACAAACTGGTCTAGGAGAAACAAACGGGACTAGAGAACAAGCAAACAAACAAACAAACTGGTCTATGAGAAACAAACGGGACTAGAGAACAAGCAAACAAACAAACAAACTGGTCTATGAGAAACAAACAGGACTAGAGAACAAGCAAACAAACAAACAAACTGGTCCAGGAGAAACAAACGGGACTAGAGAACAAGCAAACAAACAGATGCGACTCACATTCGCCAGCCTCCGATGGCTTGCCCAGGTCATTCTCCACATCAGAGTCCGTGACCTCGTCTGTACCCGTGACCCTGACCTCGTACTCCATGGCGCCTGCAAGAGCACGTCTCAAATCCCTGCGCTGTCGCGCGTTACTAGAGATACTGGGAAGCCTGATGTCCATGCGCGATCCAGCTGGGGTAGCCACCTTGTGCGGATCAGAGGTGATAGTGATAGTTTATCAGTGAAATGTGTTTAAAGAGATCTAAGACTTCACGGAGTTTTGTGTGTGGATCTTTGCAGCAGACGCCTGCACGTGTTACAGAACCCTGAGAGAAGGGGAGACAGTTGCTGGAGACACGTGTACACGATGGAGATCCATGACAGAGAGAAGGGGAGACAGTTGCTGGAGACACTTGTACACGATGGAGATCCATGACAGAGAGAAGGGGAGACAGTTGCTGGAGACACTTGTACACGATGGAGATCCATGACAGAGAGAAGGGGAGACAGTTGCTGGAGACACTTGTACACGATGGAGATCCATGACAGAGAGAAGGGGAGACAGTTGTTGGAGACACTTGTACACGATAAAGTTCCATGACAGAGAGAAGGGGAGACAGTTGCTGGAGACACTTGTACACGATGGAGATCCATGACAGAGAGAAGGGGAGACAGTTGTTGGAGACACTTGTACACGATAAAGATCCATGACAGAGAGAAGGGGAGACAGTTGCTGGAGACACTTGTACACGATGGAGATCCATGACAGAGAGAAGGGGAGACAGTTGTTGGAGACACTTGTACACGATAAAGATCCATGACAGAGAGAAGGGGAGACAGTTGCTGGAGACATTTGTACACGATAAAGATCCATGACAGAGAGAAGGGGAGACAGTTGTTGGAGACACTTGTACACGATAGAGATCCATGACAGAGAAAAGGGGAGACAGTTGTTGGAGACACTTGTACACGATAAAGATCCATGACAGAGAGAAGGGCAGACAGTTAATGAAGACACCTGTACACTATGGAGATCTACGATGGAGATCCATGACAAAGAGATCGGAAGACAGTTGCTGCAGATTATTGAACACTAGGAGATCTGTGACACTACACAGTTGCTACAGATTATTGAACACTAGGAGATCTGTGACACTACACAGTTGCTACAGATTATTGTACACTAGGAGATCTGTAACACTACACAGTTGCTACAGATTTGTGTACACTAGGAGATCTGTGACACTACACAGTTGCTACAGATTTGTGAACACTAGGAGATCTGTGACACTACACAGTTGCTACAGATTACTGTACACTAGGAGATCTGTGACACTACACAGTTGCTACAGATTATTATACACTAGGAGATCTGTGACACTACACAGTTGCTACAGATTATTATATCATCCATGAGAAGGAGACCAGAGGAAAGCTAATTCAGTCATTGCCAACTGCTTGATTAGTCAATGTACTTTGCTGACATGTTGTGTACCAATGAAAGTAAAACGCATGTCCTCTGTTTACAACACACAAATACAGTCTCTCTAGGGTGCAGTACATACACTTACTTTTTCATTGAGTGCGTATAATTTGTTTGTGATATCTCGTCCTATGAGCGTCTTCATCACACACGCCAGGTAAGGTTCCTTCCTTAGGAGGTACTCTAGACTCTGCCTGGACCAGACCAGGTATCTACAGGTACCAGAAGCTACAATAGACACCTGGTTGGGTAGACGAGTAAAACAGGTGTTAGACAGGCGAACAGTGGATGCTAAAGGAGTCAGTGGAGTATGGCACGGGAGGAATCAGGTGTTAGACAGGCGAAGGGTGGATGCTAAAGGAGTCAATGAAGTATGGCACGGGAGGAATCAGGTGTTGGACCGGTGAGAATCTGATGCTAGATGAGACAGCAGACTGGGGCACGGGAGCAAACAGGAGTTGGATAGGAGAGCTTTAGATACCAGAGGAGACCTTGACTGGAGCACAGGAGCAAACCTGTTGGACAGGTGAAGTTCAGATACCAGAGGAGACAGTAAACTGGAGCACAGGAGCAAACCTGTTGGACAGGTGATGGTCAGATACCAGAGGAGACATTAGACTGGAGCACAGGAGCAAACCTGTTGGACAGGTGATGGTCAGATACCAGAGGAGACATTAGACTGGAGCACAGGAGCAAACCTGTTGGACAGGTGATGGTCAGATACCAGAGGAGACAGTAAACTGGAGCACGGGAGTAAACAGTTGAGTAGATGGTGGTCATGAAATAGGAGTCCAATTTCACAAGAGTTTTGATATACAAGAGGGCAACCACTAGAATAGCATACCATTCATTAAAACACACACACACGCATACACACACACACACCCACACACACAGAGAGATACACATCCACACAAACATTTACACACAACGTTTTTCACGTGCATGTGTTTGTCATATTGTAAAGGATGCTGATATACTTGTCGTTCGGTTTGACATCTTTCTTTGATAAAGTCTCACACACAAACTCACACACGTCCACACACCAGACACACACACAACCACACACATGCATAACACTCTAAAACATAAATAAATATAGATGCTATGGTTTACCTGAAGAGGTAGATGTGTTGTCCCTCCATGAGGTCAACAGGGACACAACTATGACGACAACATCTAGAGATTGTCGACGAAAGGAGACTACAATAAACAGAGAGTGCCGGATATCTAATTCAAGTAACCGCTGTTATGAAGACGACACATGCTTTTTTTTATTTACTGATTAATCTAGTATCACAGTGTGATTTATTTGTTCTCTAAACTACATTGAGTGCCACCCGACCAGTTGGTTCAGACATGTCCCAAGACTACAACGAGACATGGTTTATGACTTCTGGGAACACTTTACTATTCGGAACAGCAAATGAATCATTAGTCTGGTGAGAGTGATGCAGCCAGGAGTCACGAGGGGATCTGGTCGATACTGGTGAGAGTGATGCAGCCAGGAGTCACGTGGGGATCTTGTGGATACTGGTAGAGGTGCAGCTAGGAGTCACGAGGGGATCTGGCCGATGCTTGACTCTCAGGGGAAAGGCAAGCCGGACATATAATCAGACAGCCACTGGCACCATTTGTAATAAAATTCTGCTTTGACTGCTGATTATGGTGACTCAGCGCTTGTGAGAATACCCTGAGTGCTGTGATGTCGGTTCCTAAATCATGTGAACTCACCCTAACTCAAGACTACAACCATATAGTGTACCACAGAGAGCTCTGTCACCTAGACACAATGGAAGCAGAATAGAGGTCGACCACCTAAGCGACGGACAGATGGAATTTCCGTGGACATAAACACTTATTTCTACGAAAACTCACATGCGATTCCTCTTCAAAACCTGACCTGGCTCTTAAATGCAGAACAAGACTTGGAGAATAAGAAGCAATTTGATAAATCAACAACGTACCTGAAACGTCTCCTCTCCGGTCAAGGTCGACTCAAACTCTGGGGAGTCGATGAAGCTTCGCTCGGTGATGGCGTGCAGCAGGTTCTGGTGGCTGTAGGCTTGCATCCTGTCGACAACACACGCTTAAATCATGCTATTCTTATGCTTTTCTACCTCATACTACAGTTTTAGATCACCTTGTGTGTGCGTGTGTATGTGTGTGTGTGTTTGTATTGTTTCTTATCATTGTTGCATCTAATCTACGTTTCTGAGGCCATCACAACACAACGCCAAGTAGAAGATTAGAGCATATACTTGATCCGTGTAATGCCTAACCCGATCTAATGTCTGTTACCTGACCAGTTTAATGTCCAGCATCCTCTGATATCTGTTACCTGACCAGTTTAATGTCCAGCGTCCTCTGATCTCTGTTACCTGACCAGTTTAATGTCCAGCGTCCTCTGATATCTGTTACCTGACCAGTTTAATGTCCAGCGTCCTCTGATCTCTGTTACCTGACCAGTTTAATGTCCAGCGTCCTCTGATATCTGTTACCTGACCAGTTTAATGTCCAGCGTCCTCTGATATCTGTTACCTGACCAGTTTAATGTCCAGCGTCCTCTGATCTCTGTTACCTGACCAGTTTAATGTCCAGCGTCCTCTGATATCTGTTACCTGACCAGTTTAATGTCTAACCCGATCTAATGTCTTCAAACAAATCTTAGAAAGAAACCAACAAGTTGAGAAGTGATGGAAGCAGCAGTGATGCAGGGTCTCGAGACAAAGATGGAGAACACCAGTGTAAATAGTAAATACCAGCGACATGGGGCAGATCATCTGTAGAATATACTGACTGGGGAGAGATCAGCTATAGAAAAACTGACTGGGGGCAGATAAGCTATACTGATTGGGGGAAGTAAAGATGTAGAATATACTGACTGGGAGAAGTGAAGATGTAGAATATACTGAGAGGGGAAAGTGAAGATGTAGAATATACTGACAGGGGAAGGTGAAGATGTAGAATATACGGGCAATGGGAAGTGAAGATGTAGAATATACTGACTGGGGGAAGTGAAGATGTAGAATATACTGACTGGGGGAAGTGAAGATGTAGAATATACTGACTGGGGGAAGGGAAGATGTAGAATATACTGACTGGGGGAAGTGAAGATGTAGAATATACTGACTGGGGGAAGTGAAGATGTAGAATATACTGACTGGGGGAAGTGAAGATGTAGAATATACTGACTGGGGAAGTGAAGCTGTAGAATATATTGACTGGGGGAAGTGAAGATGTAGAATATACTGACTGGGAGAAGTGAACTTCATGAAGCAAGACGAGGTCCTGGAGGTTTGTTGTCATAGAACATACAGATTACACAGATCCATCAGATCTGGGATGAGACATTGTATCTGAGGCTATCTGTCAAAACACACTAGGATAATGATGATTATGATCATGATGATTAGGATGATGATGATTATGATGTAGATCAAGATGATGACGATGATGGTGATAAAGGTAAAGAAGATGTTAATAATGATGATAATAATGATGATGATGATGACGATGATGATTATGAAAATCAAGAAAATGATGATGATTAAGGTCAAGAACATGATAATCATAATGATGATGATGATGATGACAATGATAATGAAAATCAAGAAGATGATGATTAAAGTCAAGAAGAAGAAGATGGTGGTGATGATGATGATGATGGCTGTAAGGAGTCATTTTTCTCTTGGTAATTAATGTTCGCATTGGAAATTTGAGAAACAAACGGGTAAATTAGCTGAAGCATACCCACAAAAAGAGAAACATGTGAATTATTTGCATTGAATGATCGAGAACACGAGAGAGAGAGAAAGATTATATAAGCTTGGAATGATCGAGAACACGAGAGAGAGAGAAAGATTATATAAGCTTGGAATGATCGAGAACACGAGAGAGAGAGAAAGATTATATAAGCTTGGAATGATCGAGAACACGAGAGAGAGAGAAAGATTATATAAGCTTGGAATGATCGAGAATGATTAGGAATCTACCGGCGAAGCAGTGTCTGTTCAAGATTTGAATGCAAATTCCATGAAAACCGGGTCAGCATGTTGATCTGACATTTGTCAAGGCTGACGTGTGTTTGTTGTCGATGTGATTAAGTGAAAACCTGATGTGTTCTCGTTTCTTGTAAGTGGTGTGAAGCGTCGACTTGTAAAAAGTGTGAATTGTCGTTTAAAATACTAATGAAGCTGATGTAGGTCAGTTTACCGTAATAACGCTGGCTAAGAAACAGGTGATGGAAGTCATAAACGTTATCGTATCGATCAGCTGTGTTCCAACTTTCGTTTGTTCGAGATGTTCAGTTATCTTACTATTAAAGTTCCTAAGAATATCCCAGTGATCAGAGCCTAGTGACTCACCACAATGATGATAACGATGATAAGGAGGAGGATGAGGATGATCACAGCGATAATGATAGTGATTTTCCTACATACTTACACTCCACTAATGAGAAGCCCTAGTTTGTCCGTGCGGGTCACAGCCTGGACAGCGTAGGACTCGCCGTCCTCTAAGGTCATCAGAGCACAGAACTGGGGCGACACCAGCCTCTTGTACAGGATTCTGGGTCAGGCAACACTTGAATTAGTTATGGAAGATCCACATCCAGGACCTAATCCTCAACACCCAACAACCTCACCATACGAAAGTAACAGCCCATTACTGTTAGACTGCCTGCTGGACACCGCAGACTGCAGCCATCAGTACAAGACATTCCCGACTGGGGATTTAGGACATTGCTCATGTGGCCAGACACCATAGAATACTGCACATGTGCTTCAGGCATTCTCTCCACAGGCAGTAGAGAGATCCCAGCTACATCCTCCTGGCAAACCAATAGAAATCTAGCTGTGCCAGCTTTATATCATCATCATCAGGTGCCTTGCCGACTGGCGTGGGCGATCATGCCTCTCCACAATCTGTGATCTCTTTCAGCATGTATTTGTTCGTGTGCTGACACACCTCCATGCCATGCAACAAGACTGTCAAGATTCTTCTTCTCTCGTTGTCTTCTTCTATCCCTTCTTCCACAAATCTTTCTAGTGGTCACAACATGTTCCATTTTCCCTCTTCTCATAACATGACCGAGCTAATGCCTCTTCTTAAACCTCTCGGTTGCTTTTTTATTTGTCCAAGGTATTTTAAGCATTCTCCTGTTAAAACCACATTTCTGAGATTTCAAGACATTTTTAGCCTGCCTACCGATTTTCCAGGACTCACAGCCATATGTTAAAACTGGATGTATGTAGCAAGCAAAATTCCTTTTCTTACCCTCAATGACAAAGATATATTGCACAAGATGTTCTTCATTTGATTAAATGCAGTTTTTGCCTGTCCTATTCTGTTTCTTATCTCAGTCTCTGTAGTGAGTCTCATTTTCTCCCAGTTAATTTATGCCCGACAGATGACGTCAGTAATAAATGTGAGTGGAATATTTTGACTCTAACTGGGACGACACGGGAATTGTGAGTCTAAACTTTACGGGAATTATAGAGAAATGCTGATAGTCAAACTTTGCTTGAAGTATAATTATTCACGTGGAGAGAAATGCTGACAGTCGAACTTCATGCAAAGTACGATGAATCACGGAGAATTCGGGGAAAACGAATCGGGGCATTAGAAGACTATATAATACCGTAGAAAGGGCTGAGGGGCAGTCTCTTTTGGGCCCAGGACCTGAGTGCATGGATAACGGTGGATGATGTGTGGATTCAACATGTGTTTGAGTGTTTTTGTTCCTCCAACGTCCAGCTTGGCAGACCAAGCTGGCAGGCAATATGTCGGCGGGCCGTGTTAGTTTTTATGTCAGGACAGCTGTTGTGTTTTCGTTCATGATGCTAGTGTAGGACGATTGTGATTTCGGATATAAGGTAATAATTGACACTTTGACATTTGAGTTATAATGTGTGCCTGGACAGTAGTCTATTTCATGTGCCGGCCGAGGAAGCCGAGAGTGGAAGATTAAAGTGCTGAAACAGTATCGTGTTGTATTCCCAGTCGTCCATTTCCTGCTCGTCGTGTGATGTCGGTGTGTGAGATAGCAAGCATGCGATGACGCGAGCCAGATAGAAGATAAAAAAGAGAGTCTTCGCAGTCTCTCTCTTTATCTCTCCCTCTCTCCACCTCTCTCTTTCCATCTTTCCGTCTCTCCATCTCTCTCTTTATCTCTACTTCTCTCCATCTCTCCCTCTTTCCATATCTCCCTTTCTCTCTCCATCTCTCTCTCCATCTCTATCTCTCTCCATCTTTCTCTTTATCTCTTCCTCTCTCCATCTCTCTCTCATCTCTCACTCCCTCTCTCCCTCTCTCCATCTCTATCTCTCTCCATCTTTCTCTTTATCTCTCCCTCTCTCCATCTCTCTCTCACTCTCTCTCTCTCCATCTCTCTATCTCTCTTCCCCTCTCTCTCCATCTCTCTCTCCCTCTCTCTCTCCATCTCTTTCTCTCTATCTCTCTCCCTCTCTCTCCCTCCATCTCTTTCTCCCTCTCTCTCTCCATCTCTCCCTATCTTTCCCTCTCTCCGTCTCTCTCTTTATCTCTCCCTCTCTCCATCTCTCTGTTTATCTCTCCCTCTCTAAATCTCTCTCTCCATCTCTCTCTCCATCTCTCTCTTTTTTCCTCTCTCAATCTTTCTCTTTATCTCTCCTTCTCTCCATCTCTCTCCATCTCTGCATCTCTCTCCGTCTCTCCCTCTCTTCATCTCTCTTTATATCTCCCTCTGTCCATCACTACCTCTCTCTCCTCTCTCTCTCTCTCTTGTTCCAGATGAATACTCTCACACTGTTGACGTTCAGCTCTTCTGGCTGGTGCCCCTTCTCTCCTTCTCTCTCTCTCTCTCTCTCTCTCTCTCTCTCTCCTCTCTCTCTTGTTCCAGATGAATACTCTCACACTGTTATCGTTCAGCTCTTCTGGTGGTCTCTCTCTCTTCTCTCCTTCTCTCTCTCTCTCTCTCTCTCTCTCTTGTTCCAGATGAATACTCTCACACTGTTATCGTTCAGCTCTTCTGGCTGGTGCCCCTTCTCTCCTTCTCTCCTTCTCTCCTTCTCTCTCCTTCTCTCCTCTCTCTCTCTCTCTCTCTCTTGTTCCAGATGAATACTCTCACACTGTTATCGTTCAGTTCTTCTGGCTCTCCTTCTCTCCTTCTCTCTCTCTCTCTCTCTCTCTCTCTCTCTCTCTCTCTCTTGTTCCAGATGAATACTCTCACACTGTTCTCAGCTCTTCTCTCTCTCTCTCTCTTCTCTCTCTCTCTCTCTCTCTCTCTCTCTCTCTCTCTTTCTCTCTCTTTCTCTCTCTCTTTCTCTCTCTTGTTCCAGATGAATACTCTCACACTGTTAACGTTCAGCTCTTCTGGCTGGTGCCCTTCTCTCCTTCTCTCCTTCTCTCTCTCTCTCTCTCTCTCTCTCTCTCTCTCTCTCTCTCTCTCTCTTGTTCCAGATGAATACTCTCACACTGTTAACGTTCAGCTCTTCTGGCTGGTGCCCCTTCTCTCCTTTTCGACTGCTAGTCGCCACCAGTATGTGAATCCAACACGCCGAATCCCAGATACCCAGTTCAACCTACACTTAAGTTATAATTAGAACACCCGTAGTAACAACATACAGTTACTGTCCTGGTAGGCAGCTCTTGCTGTTTAGAGGAGAGCGGGTGCGTTTTACAGTTTCATGGAAACGATTTAAGCCTCACTATAAGACATTCAGCCAAACTTTAGGAGCTCAATTGGCACATGTTTAATGTATATCCTGCAATGTTAAATGTATATCCTGCAATGTTTAATGTATATCCTGCAATGTTTAATGTATATCCTGCAATGTTTAATGTATATCCTGCAATGTTTAATGTATATCCTGCAATGTGTTAATGTATATCCTGCAATGTTTAATGTATATCCTGCAATGTTTAATGTATATCCTGCAATGTTTAATGTATATCCTGCAATGTTTAATGTATATCCTGCAATGTTTAATGTATATCCTGCAATGTTTAATGTATATCCTGCAATGTTTAATGTATATCCTGCAATGTTTAATGTATATCCTGCAATGTTTAATGTATATCCTGCAATGTTTAATGTATATCCTGCAATGTTTAATGTATATCCTGCAATGTTTAATGTATATCCTGCAATGTTTTGCCAAACGATCTTTGCATCGAAAAAAAAAAAAAAAAACTCAAAAAAAAATAAATAAAATGAGGATGAATCAACTATCACGATCATAACACTCGGGACACTTCCATAAGCGCTCCGTCTCCATCTTCGACTGCCAGTTGCGATTCCAGTGTTACCAGTAGCTGTCCGATGTCTGTCCACCTGGGCTTTCCCTGAGTGTTGAGCGTTGACCAGGTCTCATGGTCACTTCTCGCTGCACCATTCTTTTAGACCACCATGATCTATTCGTTTTTTCTCAATCTCTTCTACGGCCGTTTCCATGAATCTATATTAATATAACATGATAATTTGCCGTGGTCACCTAGAGACTGCAAAACTACTGAACCGATTGTTTTCAAAATTTCACACAACGTTGCCTTTGACTCAATGGGTGTTTTTTCTGTCAGAAAATTGCACAACACACGAACGACATAGTTCCAGCAACGGTCAAATCATTTTTTGTTTCGTTGCTCGCCCGGATTTGTTTTTAGTTGATTGGCCACCTTCGACTACTGAGCAGGGCTGCCAACAGATGCCTTTTCCCTCATGATCCATCTCCGACAGTTCTTTAGCGATGGCTTTAAATTTTCACACAACGTTGCCTTAGACTCCGCGCATGTTTGTATGTAAGAGTGTTGCACAAACTACGAACGACGTAGATCCAGCCACGATCATTTCATTAGGTATTTAGTTTCCCGCCCGGATTTGTTTTTTGCCGATTGGCCACCATTGACTGTGTAACACTGAACTTCACATTATTATTTTATAATTTTATTTCTACTAAATGCTTGAGTATTTAGTAGCGTAGTTAATGGTAAGCATTTCGCCTTTAACACGGGTGATCGGAGTTCGATTCGCCGCTGGGTGATATAATTTTTTAGGGGCATATAACTGGGTGGTTGCCACGTTTTGTTGTGGTTTATAGCTAGGCTGTGATATTTACGCCTTTTTTGCTTGGTTTTGGAGTTTACAGCTAGCCAGCGATAGCGGTGTTGTGATGCTCACTGGTCATGTCGCGGGTAATATTTGTTTACCCTTGAGAGGGCGGTTGGCACGTTGTGTTATGTTTTACAGCTAGGCTGCGATATCTGACCTAAAGTCTTCAGTCTTTGGTAGTGTAGTTATAAGTATTTAGCCTTTCACGCAGGTGACCTGTGTTCAATTTCTGGGTGCTAATTTTTCTGTTTCCCTTAAAAGGGCAGTTGGCACGTTGTGGTTTACAGCTAGGTTGCGATATCTGCGCTTTTCGCCTAAGGACATTAGATTTCAGTAAAGTGCCAATTAGCCTCCATCCGACGCTTCACTCGATCGAAAAACTATTCATTGGTGACAGAAACATGTTTTTTTTTTTTTTTTTTAGTATCATAATTCTCTAATCTCCGCTCTAAGTGAGGTGAATTAATGTGTAGAGGGGAGT